CACGAGCCGCTGCTACGTCCGCCTCCGTTGCTGCTGGAGCCGGCCAAGACAGCAGCTCTCTTCCCGGGGGCGGCCTGGTAGATGGAGGTCTATTACGGTGCGTGGGGTCGTGGGGAGATCCCTCCTTTCCCCCCACCCCATTCCCCACCACCTCCTTCGCCAGACCAGCACCGAAGAGGCTCCGTCAGCACCACCCGATGTGGCTACAGTTCCTCTGGAGCCAGGGGCCAGTATATACTGGTGGGTCAGGAAACATTCCTAAGACATAAAAGGAAGGAGGGGAGATGTGGGGGGGGAGCGCTTTTGCTATTTACGGTCCTGCTGATAATTAATGAATGGGAGTTTAGAAATATTCCCAGGCTTGGCTCCTCCAAAGCACAACCGGAGACGAGCTAATTAAAATGCAAAACTTCAGCCACACCGAAGGATGGTATCCATCCCCACCACCAACACCACCACTCAGCTAGGCAGGGAAAAGCAAAAAGGCTAAGAAATGGGAGACGGCCTTTGGTTTCCTTAATAGATAGAGGGTATGGAGAACTCCAGTGGGAAGAAAGATCAACTGCGGGCCCCGCTCAGAGGGCAGCTGGACGGATCCATTTCCACCCAAAACCCAACTAAACAAGAAATGTGAAGCTTTGACTCACCCTCACCGTAAAACCTCGTTCCCTTCCCCCACCCGCAAAAAAAAGAAAAAAGGCCCCTCCCTACTTCATCGTCATCATCATCAACAGTAACATCATTAGCAGCATGTTGTGTAGCGCATCCCCCCTCCCTTCCCGGGTATGGACCAGAATTTGGAGAGGGCCTGGCTACCCAAGGCTGACTGGGTTTCTCCCTCTTTCCATCCCGGACCCCCCCCCCAAAAAAACCCCACGCTTCTAGGAAAAGACCTCTTCTTCCCTCCTCGCTGCCTTCAAAGGCCTGAAAGGCTCCTGGGGGGCGGGGGCGACGGGGAAGATCCTAGGTTGCCCCTGCTGCCTCTGGAACGCCCGCTGTGGGAAGGAAGGCTGGAGAGAGCCTTACTTGGGGTGGGGGTGTCTCTGTTCCCCCACATTAATTGCCATTGTCGGGGGGGGAGATTTGGTGACCTGTGGCTGATAAGACCCCCTTTTACACCCCTGAAAACTGAAGGGGGCCACCCCCACCGCTCTGTCGAGGCCCATCGAATTTCCATAGCAAGAAGGAAGCGGTCTGAATTCGGTGTGAATTCAGAGTTACAGTTAATCTCTGTGTCCCTCCCTGAGCGCCAGCTTAGACCAGGAGTGTGTATGTTGGAGGCGTCTTCCCCTTCTCCTCACCTACCCTAATTCGCTTTGGCATCCCAGACAGACCGAGGGGCCACCTGAAACCCGGCAATTAGCCTGGCTGCGGCCTCGCTCCCTTTGTTTCGCCCCCGTCGGGGGAGCGGGCCCGGCGTTTGGGGGCTGGCAGGCGGCAGATGGCCTGGGCCCGGCCGGGGAGACCCTCACCTGTCGCTTTCCCTCCGAAGCAGGTGGGGGGGGTGGATCTGGGAAGGGACGTGGAGGTGTCCCAAAGCCCGGGCGAGGGGCTCCTTGGCTGCAGGCTTCGGATTCCGTCTTTCCTCTCCTCCGGAGAAGACGCAGGGGGAGGGGGAGAGAGGGAGAGGCGGGGATCGTCATCGTCGTCATCATCTCCACTATCATCATCCCCTTTATTCCTTATTTTTTATTTTTATTCTAAGAAGATGTCCAATTTGCGGTGGGTGGGGTGGAGGCGCAGGGAGAGATGGGTTACATAGAAGAAAATGGTTTCGCTAGGGTCTCCCTAGCAGACCCGTTTTCTTCTATGTAAACCGTTCTCTCCCTGCGCCTCCCCATTCCAACTGGACATCCTTGGATGTCCACGGATCCCTTAAGCAGATCGTGAGAGCGGGGGCTTGGGAATGGAGGGAGGGCGAGCCGGTGAACTCTCGGCGCTGAGAAGGGTCGGGGGATACCTCGCCCCCTCCCCGCCTAAATTATAGCCCTTGTGTGGCTGTTTTCCAGGCATTAAATCAATCTAATTACATAAAATAGAGACTCCAGCCCCATTCGAGATAATTAGCCGAGGGTTTGGGACCGGGACTTTCTCTGGCTACCGGAGGGAAAACAAGATTTATGAGTACTTCAGCATACGCGTTTGGAGAAAAGGAGGCCTCGCCCCGCGGTCTAGGAGACACGCGCACGTGTGAAGCCTTGCAAGCTATCCAGGACGGCGGCGGGGCGGGGCGGGAGAGAGAATCGATTTGTGGCCGCCCCCAACTCCATGGTCTTAAAGCGAGCCCCAGATTCCCTGATATTCTTAAACAGCGAAGATCTGTCCCAGTGGGATTGGATTTAGCTCTTTCTGGAAAATGCAGAACTGGACACAAATGGTCCAAAATAGAGCGAAGGGTCCAAGAAGAGAAGGATCGGGGCGTTATGTCAGTAACCCCCACTTCTATGGGTCTCTCCCAAGCTGGTTGGGCCACAGATTTTTGCTGTTCCCCTCCCTGACACGGAAAAGACCCGTGAGTAGGGACCTGCCGCCCTTAAATGCTATTGAGTCCGTGGATTGCAGCGGTGGGAGAGAGACAAGGCCCGTCCGGGGGCTTGCTCAAGAGTAAGCCTGCCGTCCTCTCGACGTTGTTGTGGAGGTGACGGCAGGAGCGGAGAAAAGGCAAGGAGCTCAGGAGAGGAAAAAGCTAGGAATAAATGAAGGCTTAACATTGTGTTGAAAAAAGGGGGGACGGACCTGATGGTTCAAAGAGGGATTGATTCTGGGGTGGGGGTGAGGAGATGTGATGCTGTGTACCCTTCGCCATCTCCTGCAAGCACTCAGAGCTATGGTGCATACGGGTGAGCAATTATCCATATGGTTCCCTTCAGCTCTGCAATGCTAAGATGATGGTGGTGATGATGAATAGGCAAAACAGAAGTCGAGGCGGGGCAAGATGCTTCGAAGGGGTCCGTTTCCCCCTTCATTATCTTCCATCCATTCTTCTCTCCCCCGCCCCGCGTTCCCCTGACTCTTTTACTGAAATCACCGGTGACTTTATTTGCGCTCCATTTGGGCCGGATCATGTCCCTGGGGCGGGACGGGGGGACCATAACCGAATGGGGCTGAATTTGGGAAATCAACTTCCTTCCTTCCTTCCTTCCTCTCTCTCTCATTCTCTCTCCTTCCTTGTTCAAACGGTTTTCTAAGCCGCCTTCTGCTGAAAGTCCTGCCAGTGAAACGGGGAAGGTCTCCCTCCCTCCCCCCTTGACTGGGGAAGGGCACTATTAAGTGGAACCAATACTGGGGCTCGCCTAGTTTGGGGCAGTGGCTTGACACCCGTCCGGGCTCCGGCCTCGGCCTCTCCAATCCTTGCGCACCATGTTTGTAGTCCGCCTCAAAGGACCGGCTGGAATTTGGAAGCCCCCTTTGGAGCCGTAGAGGGCACAGAGCTGCC